AACTTTTATTTAATAAGAAATTAAATGTGACAAAAATAACTGATTTATTACTTTTTTAAAAAAAGAATTATATTATAATGGCATAATATTTTAAAATAATATTTCAGATCTCTTTATAACTATTTTATAGATTAATGATAAAAATAACTAGTAAAAAGATTCTAATTTATTAATAGATATATATTGCAATTTAAATGGTCAATTAAGTTTTCGATTGGTTTCAATTCATATACGCATTAAAATTTTAGATTCAGTTATTAACAAATATTTCATTATATTACCAACTAGCCTAAAATATGATGCCGAGTTTTAATTAGGATTTTGTTGGGAGGCTACTAATGATGGATTTGATTTTTTATAATTTGTGAGATTATCAAATTATAATGGGTGGACAAATATTGACACAAATATTTAAATGGGGGATGCGGTTAGATTTTAGAGAGGGGGGAGGGGGGTTTAATATCTTTGTCATGTATACACGGTTATTCATTAAGATTTAATAATGCCACAGCTTGGATTGGATTAGTTTAAGAAACATCTTCTTACTAAATCTGACTAGGTTGAAAAATAAAGTGATTCCTCAATCAAATTTTAAATTTTGTAATTTCATGAAAAATCAGACTGTTTTATTTATGTAAATAACTTAGGTATTTCCGTGCTACGGGGTATGATATTTATAAGCTGAGCATGATTTGGGGCAATTTGTTAAAAATGAATTTTATTTCATGGTCATTGTTTAGCTAATTGATGTACACTATCATCTCATTTTAATTTAACTCTTTTCGGTTCGCTTTTCGTAAATTTACATAAATGCTAATAAAAGTAAAAACATTGACAGGTAAAGAGATAGAAATTGACATTGAACCTAATGATAAAGTGGAAAGAATAAAAGAAAGAGTGGAAGAAAAAGAAGGAATACCTCCTCAGCAACAAAGATTGATTTTTTGGGGTAAGCAAATGAATGATAACTGGACAGCTGCTGATTACAAGATTACTGGTGGCTCTGTTTTACATTTAGTATTAGCTTTAAGAGGTGGTTTTTTATGAAGTTGAAAAATGTATTTCTATATTTTGCAAATAATAGTGTAAAATTGTTTTCTTTTTATAAAATATATTATTTTTTGATTCTCCCCTTAATGTATAGATAATTAAATATTTAATGTTATTTTTTATCTAATTTACCAATATTGTTTAAAACTTATATTTATATCCAGTCATTTTATATTTAAACTATTTTAACCAAGATTATTTTCTAACTTAAATTCTATGATTACATGACAACTTAATACTTTTTGGGTATTAATTATAACAATTTTTGCTTGTTAAAAATTTTTTCACAAATGTAACAAGTTTTAAATTTGAATGAAATCCTTAAACTCCATGTATATTGCACTTGTAAAAATTCTTCAAACTAAATTATATGCTTAAAAAGCTGTCATGATACCTGTAAAAATAAGAACAGATAAATTGCTAATGATGAAAATCAATACATATTTTGTACATATTACCTACTTTTTATATTTTATAAATTACAAGTTTAATTGTGATAGAAAGATGTTTTATGATCAAATTTAATAAAAATTTTCTTAGTGCTAACCTTGGAAAAATCAGATATTACTTTTTTCTAAAACTCTAAAAGAGATGTACTGATCAATATCACTTTTTTGTTGATACTGGTAGTGGTACCAATATGTTATTGGCTGATCTGATATACCTAATCTATATTTATGAAATATAATCCAAAAAAGAAAATAATATTATTTTGCCTTATTTCCACAAAAAATATATTTTATTTTAACTTAAGTCAATGTATTTCAATCAGAGTGCACCTCAACTTGGTAATAGGTCAATACTTATATTATTGGTATTTGCTTATACATTAACAAATACTCAAAAATGATTATTAACCTTCATAAATAAAATTTTTTTATTACGCTAATGAATTTTATAATAAAAAATTTCATAACTGATAAGAGGTCAATCTTTATTTCCTAATTTATATTTAATTTTACAAATTTCATAAATTAATTATAAATAAATAAAAAAATTGATATTATTGATGAATTATATCTTTACTTTTTTCAATAAATATACTAAATTATAATTCTTATTGTCCAATACTGTGCTAGTGTTAGTTGTATCAGTTGTTCAAAAGAGTGATATTAGTCCATCTGTTTTCAATATTAATGAAACTTAATCATAATTTTTTTCTATCAAATCATGGCTTAAGTATAGGCCAATAGAGTTTAATCATTGTTGTGCATAGTGGCCTTGATATCGATTAAAATGAAAAGTATTGGCCAATACTAGAAAGAACCCTTTGTAAAAATTATTTTTTTTATTACAAAAAAATAATTTGTAAATATATCTGATCTAAAAGTTTTTTAAATGTACAAAATATGAAAAATTATAATAATGGTTATTTCTCAAAATTAAAAAAACATTACAAAGGATATTTAAATAATTTAAAATTTTTCGAGGTCTGAATCAGGTTGGATCTAAAATAAAATTTAAGATCAAAGTCTGAAAATGTTTGAGTCTGATGAATCCAAATTTTGCTGGATAGGAAGCCAACACTGACTGATAAGAGTATTGGCAAATAATACCTAGTATCGGTATTGGTGCACTTCTGTTTTCTAATTTTTTTAGATGTGCATATAGAAAAAAAAATTGTCATAATTACTAATCAAAACATTCATTAAAATTTAATTTTATTATTAAAAAAATTATAAATTTATATCAGATCTTCTTCTCCGTTTTATGGCGATTTCCAGGTTTACCTGGGTAGGCCAGTTTTCCCTCTGATTTTTCTTTTCCATTTTTGACGGTCCTGAAGTTGCTTTCATTGCCCATGTTTCACCACCATAAACTAAACAACTCCTCACACAGCTTACGTAAACTTTCCCCTTTAACTTCAGAGAAACTTTTTTATTTGTAAGAATAGACGACATCTCTCTGAACTTCTTTCAAGTTTGTCTGATCCTTGCAACAACGGCAGATTCTACACCACCATCTGCGTTTAGCATATCACCTAAATAACAAAACTTATCCACTTTTTCTAGGGTTAACCCATTGCCAATATCCAGACCACCATTTTTTAGGTTATCATTATTATGTATCCCTTTCATGCATGTTTTACAAATAAAGGTCTTTCTTTCTAACATCAAACTGACTTTTTTCCCGCTACATCTTTTATGTGCCTATTTCTGGCATCTGGTGCATTGGATAGAATTTCTAGCAACTCCTTTCCCACATACACCACAAGGCCACTTACCGGATTCTTCCATCTTTAGATTTTCCCCACCAATCATCACCTTTGTTTTTGATGCATTCATTTTCAGGCCCTTTGCTTCCATAGTCATCTTCCATTTACTAACTTTATCCCTCAATTCTCCCTCACTGTTTGCCATTATTACAAGGTCATCTGCATATAATATCTCCCAGGGAAGTCCTTCACGGATTTCTCTAGCCACCACATCCATTACTAAGATAAATAATAATGGACTCAGCACGGATCCTTGATGAAGTCCTACCTTCACCTCAAAGCTCTCACTATCACCATAATCCGTCCGTACTGCTGTTTGTGCTCCAACATACATTGCCATCACTGCGGTAACCAACCATTCCTCTACACCGGATTTTCTCAAGGCCCATCCTGTAATCTCACGCGGCACCCTATCAAATGCTTTCTCCAAATCAACAAACGCATAATAGAGTTTCTTTTCCTTCGCAAGATACTTCTCCTGAATTTGTCTCACCACAAAAATTGCATCTGTCGTGCCTTTTCCCGATGTAAAACCAAACTGCATTTCATCAATTTTAATTTGTTCCCTTAACCGCTTCTCAAACACTCTCTCAAATACTTTCCTTGCATGTTCCAAGAGTTTAATAGCTCTGTATGACCCGCAATCTAAAGGATCACCTTTCCCCTTGTATACTGGGATAATTATACTTCTTCGCCAGTCCTCGGGAATAGTACCTTCTGTGACAATCTGATTTGCTAAATTCATTAACCATTCAATCCCTAAATCATCAGAACCTTTAAACATCTCTGATACCACCATCGTTAAACCCGATGCCTTCCCTTTCTTCATCTTTTTCACTGCTCTCTTTATCTCCTCCTTGCCAAATTTACACCCTGGACCTTCTACCTTTGCACAACTAATATTATTATTCCATTCATTTTCTTCACTCAAAAGTCCTTTCATGTAAATCTTCCAGGTGTTCTTAATACCACTACTATCAATCGTCATTTTTCCTTCCATATTTTTCAAACACTTTACACCTATCACATCTTGCCTCTTTTTTGACATCTGTTTTGCCATTCGAACCATATTTCCAATTCCATCAGCGCATTCCATTTCTTTAGCAAACTCGTGTCTTTTTTCTTCTTGAGCCTTCGCTATTAATTTCTTAGAATTTCTTTTAGCCATCTTGTAAATATCATTATCACTATTTTCTTTGCTATTATGCCATACTTTGAAACACCTCCGTTTCTCATCCACGGCTTTCGCTACCTCCAGGCTCCACCACCATGTCTCCTTATGTCTAGGCGGCCCTTTTGTCCATCCACATACCTCCTCAGTTGTCATTACCCAGGCTTTCTTCATGGCTTCCACTTGTCATTCACCCCAGATGCTTGTGCCACCTCCGCCTCCCTAATCGCCAATGCCATATTGAATTGACGTCTAGCATTCTCCTCCTTCAATTTCCAAACCTTCAGCCTTGGGACAAACTTTATTTTAGTGACCCTGGCACCTTTAAGAGTGAGATCTCCTACAACTAGTCGATGCTGATTTATACATTCCTCTCCCGGTATCACTTTCACATTTATTACTATACATCGATCACATCTCCTTAATATCAAGTAATCCACAGCACTTTGGTACTACCCGACTTATAAGTCACTAGCTTCTCTGATTCTTTCTTAAACATTGTATTACAGACAATCATATCCATCGCATCACTAAATTCTAAAATCCTCTCTCCTTCCAAATTTCTCATGCCGTAACCCCTCCATGTACTCCTTCATAACCCTCACTACTTGCTCCCACATGTCCATTCAGATCACCAGCCAGGATAATCCCTTCTTCATTTGCCAGTCTCGATGTCACCCCCAATAGACTGTCCCAAAATATATCTTTCTCTTCTTCACTTCTTCCAACCTGAGGAACATATGCCGAGATAATATTATATAGCTTTCTACCAAAAATCATCTTGATAACCATTATCTGGTTGTCTAGCCTTCTCACTTCGACTACTTTGTCTACCAATTTCTCCGCAACCAATACCCCAACTCCAGCCTTACCATCATTACCTCCTTGCCAAAAGAATTTATACTTTTCGTTAGTCTTGCCAATCATTCTGGTCCCATTTCCTTTCCATCTAGTCTCCTGTATGCAGCACACATCTATATGTCTTCTGTGCAATACATCGACGACTTCTCCCGCTCTTCCCGTCATACTCCCAACATTCCATGTCGAGACCCTAACTCGATCACCCGTAAACTGGTTTATCCACTTTTTATCAGGTCGTTTATGGCCGTCATAAGTATCATTTTCATGAATAGTGGTTCCACCAGGTTTCCCATCCTTCTTTTTGTCGTAGGCGGATGAGGAGGCCCACGGGGTACTTTGGGCTGTACCCCGCCCATGCTTTGTTGTAACCATAGGGAAATTTTGTAGCAAGGTTTTTACAATCGGATGCCCTTCCTGACATCAACCTCTTTAAGGGGTTTTTACACCCCGTCGAGGAGACGGTGATCCTATTCTAGACCCAGATCACAGGGAACCTTTTAGACCTCCATTAGCCTCCAAAAGACGTTGCCACTCCCCCGCCACGATGAGACTGAAGGTAGGATTTTGGTAGAGATAAATTTATATTAGATCAATATAACGAAGTACTTTTTTGCAGCAAATGTCGTTTATTGCTATGGAATTAAATGTAATAACCATTTTTAGAGTATAAGTAATCTCACAAAGTAGATTTCTTTTTTCCGCGAATTTTTTTTAACTTTAATTGCGAACATTTTAGAACAAAAAGTAAAAGTAAACATAGGAAAAAAAATCCTATTGGGAATATCATTCATAGTTATTATTTCAAAAAAAATTTGATTTTCAAAACAAATAAATTGTAATGTAATCATAAAAAAAAATATATAAGGGAAAGGTATGTAATAAAAATAGCAAAAATTATTGCGTTTTAAATATTAAATCATTTTGCGATAAGGATTTGGGGAATTTGTCAATTATATAATGAATCGAAAGATTTTATAATTAATGCTCAGTGCTCATAATGACTAAGTAACTTAACCGTTTTTATTTCATTGTCGAACTAACTCGTTTTAGATAGTGTTTAAGTAATTAGTTATATCTTCGCAAATAACTGGTTATATTTTTTGGAATGTGACCACCTACGTTAACGAGTTACTTTTTAAAATCTTAATAAATTTTATTTTTAATGATCTTAAATTAAATTTAAAATTTTGATTAAATCTCTGAAGGTGTAGTAACACCTTTTTATATATTTAATATTGATAATTTATCAAAGAGATAGAGAATCATAGACAGCTAAGATTTTGCTAAGATTTTGCTAAGAGAGGGGGAATTATTAGGTGGAGTTTTCTCCATAAATTATATTTGAGATTTTTAGATCCCATCGTAAATCTTTGGCTATGTAAAATTTTATAAGAAATAATTTTTTTTTCCACTTATTCTATAAAAATGCTTTTTTTCAATATAATTTTGAATTGCAAAAATATTTTTTGAGACACCCGGGGCGGGCTTGACCTCTACCCGATATCTATATAATTTAATATGAACTTAAAAAATTTCCATGATTCATTCCTTCGATTTATATTGGCTGTATTTTTTTGAAAGGATTTCAAATATCCGCGATGATTACTTTCGCATATTTTTTTGATATATGGATCGGAACCGAGAACTCATTCCCATATCGAATCTCCATTAATATTTATGAACATTACATTTGACAAATTATTTATTTAAACTCATGATGAAAATTATAAGATGAAAGCCCCTTTTACACTCGAAAGGACCGCAGGATGAAGTATCGCCCAAGGAATTTTTTTTAATTTTTCATTAAGAATATCTTCACTAATATATTATAGGCCCAGCAATCGTTTTATATTCATTTAATTTGAATCTTAATCATATTCTTTTTACTTGCTGCTCGCCAAACCGCGCATCTAAGTTTAGGCCAATTTTTTTTGTGAATAAATCCCATTTAATTTAAATGCTTCACTAAGCTAAAAATTTATTAAATTTTCATAATTTTTCCAACTTTAAAAAAATGAATAAGTTATCGTAAATTCGAAAAAATGATTTAGGCCTATTTATAAGAAGAGTTTATTTCTCTTCATTAAAGTTACGAAAGTTTATAATTTATTTATTTTAAGATAAATAAAACAGGTTTATAGATAGTTTAATCATTTTTTAATTATATAAAGTAATTAGAATAACATTTAAATTGCATATATGATAATATTTCTCTATATCTTCGTTTCAGGGATTCGAAACGAACCCGGAGAAGAAAACCCAGGTTATTAAAAAAAATCTGAACCCGAATAGAACCTGAACCCCATTTATAAAATGTTCAAAATCCCGAACCGAACTCAGGAATTTTCTTGAACCAGTGTTCAACCGGGTTCAGTTTAGGTAGTGTTTAAAATCATATATTAAGATATTTGTATAATTGTAAATAAAAATATTAATAATTTAATTTAGATTTTATAATATTTTCAAATTTCCAATTAAGTGTATTAAACAACTTAATTCATTTACGCCACTATTAAATTTTTTTAAATTTATTCTCTTCTCAAGATTGCTATTGGAGTGTTAATAAATTTTAAACACTTAATACGCCATTTATTTTTAACTTATTCTCAAAGATTATTAATTAGAAGAAAGTGAACAAGTCAAAGTAAAAAGCATTATATTGAAAATTTTGTTAATTTAAAGAATTCTCAAAATCTAACTTGAAAATTGTTAAACAAAGATGTAGGGTAGTTTTTGTAAACTCATTAACATTTTATAATTTATATATGCTAATCATTTTGCTCAGATCAATTTTTACCATATATTAATGAAGTGCATATTATAAATGAAATTAAATTTATATAACTGTTTTTTAATTCTATGAAATCATTAATATTTAAAAAATTTGTGCTCTTTAATTCTTTTATTTGAAAGTTTAATAAATGATCCATCATTTTATTATATAGATTTAAGATCAAAGATAAAATCATATTTGAGAAGTATTTTACTCTTGATACAATGGAATAAATCAGTATGCTCATATTGCAAATTAAAAATGTCTGGTAATCATTTCTCAAATTTAGAAAGACATCTAGAAAGAAATCACAAAAATGAATATCTAAATTATTTGAGTGAAAAAACAAAATATCCGGAAGTGTTATTTGCAAAAAACCCAAAATTAATATAGAAATCTATAAATATAAATTTCACATCGAATGATTTGATGAGTTCTATCATAGAATGTTACTGTAAATGGTAGGTCTTTATCAATTATTGAAGATTCGGGATTTCAAAGGATCATAAACCTACTTCTATCTGGGCTCAATTTAGTTATTAACAAAGAAAATTTATCCTGAACTATTAATAGAACAGGGCAATATCTATTAGACAAAATATCAAGAGAGGTAGAAGGAAAAAGTTTAAAAGTTGATGCAGTTCAACGACTAGACAGGTCAATTCTTGATGTAAATATTCAATTTATATCAAGTCCTTTATAATTTTGAGAACTCTTGGAATTGTAGATCTGAAAATAAGAAATTCAGGTGAATATAATAAAAAATTTAAAATTTATTACTTCTGACAATAGTGCAAATTTTTAAAAGTTATAAAGCTCTTGCACCCTGAAATTGGTTAATGATATAAGGAGTGAATCAATACATTATGTAAATATCGATGTGAATGTATATAAATATGATATCGACGATATACAGAATACTTTTTTATCAACTATTTTATCCTATTTCTAGTGTACATTGTGCAACTCATACACTTCAGAGATGCAATAAAATTATAACCCATTGGGGATACTCTTGCAAAAGCTAGGAGCTTAAATTTAAAACATCCTACATCAAAAGTTATTGAAAAATACATGCTGCACACATAATTTATTATTTTTAGAAATATTGAGAATAAAGGAGCGAGTTATAATGCAAGAATTTTATAGTTTAACTGGTTAATATGATTTTCCCAATATATTTAATAAAGCTCATTATAAATTATCTAAAAATGATATAAAAGGAATATATGCTTTAATTTTTTGGATATATATTTTCTTTCTATATAAATTCATTACTTTTTGTATAAATTAGACGATATAAAATAAAGAATAAGTGATTATAATAGCGCATGAATAATCCTCAAATTTCTTAATTTTTGTTTTTATAGGTTGCCAAAACTAATTTTTTAAAAAATTATTGGATGAATTATATAGTTAAACTTTCTTTACACAAACGATTCAATGCATAAAAAAATTTTTTTTGATTGCAAGTGACATAATATTCTCAATTTTTTATATTTGACAATATTAAACTATACATAAATTTCTAATCATGAATAATTTTTAAGTTGTCTTACCCATATAAATTTAAATAATTTATTTAGAATATAACTAAGATAAAAATACAATATAAATTTACAGTATTTGATCATAAATATCACAAAAAAAAATTATAGCAAATTTAACAAATATCTCAGGTTTATTTGATTGCATCCCATTTGAAATCTATAGGTGGGTGAGGGGGATAATAAATAAAATTTCTAGTTTATGACAATTAAAACTTCAAAGAAATAATATATAAATAATAAAAACTGAATAATTCTAATATTTAATCATTTAATTGAACTAAATATTAATTGAAAAAAAACTTAGCTTATCAATATCTATTATCTTTCAAATAATCTCTGTCAAATATTTCATTATATAGTAAATTATAAAATTTATACAAATTCCATTCATAATCATTTGGTTGAAGTTTCCATTGAATTTTTATTTTCACGTCCTCTCAAACCGTTCCTTAAGCAATAGACGTATCTTATCTTGATAGGTTCCCGGAATGGAGGCAAACCTTTCGGCCGAAATGCTAGGATTTTGCGCTAGGGAGCCATTACCTGAAAGGCAAGAACCTAATCTAGCATCTACAGCTTTAATCGGCTCGACGATGCCTTGCTGATTTTTGCCAAGACCTACTCCCCCCTTCCAGCCCATGTTTTTAAGCATTTTATTACCTATTCATTTTAGGATAAAATATATAAAAAATGACGGTTGTTAATGAATCAAATTAAGATCTAATATAATGATCAAAAAAATATGAATACGTGTTTATTTAAAACCTATATTATCATCGCCTATAACAACTTCAGGAGCTTTAGGCATATTGGGATTTAGACCGGCTGCCGTGGCTAAAAAGAGAGGCGTTCTAATAAGATATAAAATATTTTTATAATGTAATACTCGAAAATATATTTTCAAAATTCGATATGATTTTCTTGAGTTTGATGTAATGTTAAATATAGTAGTTAAATTGAGAAATGAATATAATCTTCTCGTAGCATTTAAGAGTTCTATTGTAAGGTAAATACTCTTTAAAATTGTATATTTATATTTTGCTATTTTTATATTTCAATCTTCCTTTTAATTCTGTCATCTTGCACTTTTCTTTTTGTCAAAAATATATGCAACCAAAAAAACCGCCAATCAATTACAAAAAAAGATTTAGGGTTGGGTTGGGAATTTTTTAAGAGCTATTGCTATTCGTAAAAAATTTATCTTAACAAATCTTGCCACAGGTAGGTATAGGACATAGAGCTATGAAAGGAGTAATAATTTTTTGTAAAGATAGAAATATAAATACTTGGATTGCTGGCTCAATTGATTTTTTATCATAGTGGATAACTCATGGGACAATTCAGGGGGTTCATCAGAGTTTCCGAATTTGCTCCTTCTCTCTTTGGCCCTGTCTCTGTATTTGTTAGCGGAACCGATATTAGTTGTATTGGTATTTGAAAAGGGGGAAGAATTCATTGAAGGAGAAGCGGGTTGTCTGAGGTTCAAAAGGGTATTGGGATTCGTGGCTAGGTAATTAGCCAGATTATCCTATAAACAATAAACGCACATGTTTATATTAAAAATGGAAAAGGCTATTTGTAATAGGGGTTATGTTAGGAGATGTACCCAGGGTTGAGCAGTATCGCGAATATTTATAACTATACTTTTTTAAACTTTTCAAAAAGATATTGTGTCGTAAATTTTTTGAAAATTGATATAAAAACTTCAGAATTTAAGTGAATAACTTAATCCGAGTGACAAAGTTTGAGAAAATAGTAGAAAACAAAATTATATTAAATTAATTTTATTTGGTCGTTATTTAATAATTATTTTATTAATTTTTACTTCTTTCAAAAGAAATTTTTTTAAAAAAGTGTTAAATCGGAGTTCTGGAGCAAAAATATAAGCCAAAATGAATCACACATTATTTTGAAAAATATATTATAAGTTCCTCGCACTTTTTATTATAGTCAGTTCTAACCATGAGCCAGTCCCGGTTCGTATAGATTTTAAAAGGGGTTTCAGGTTCCGATTGTAAACTCTATTTTTTAAAAATCCGATTCGAGGATTTATAGAAAATATCGTTGCAGGCTTTTCTTTCTCTTTTTCCAAATTTTATAAAATAAGCAAGAAAAAAAATTTTTCCACAAAAGAGATTTTTATATTACATTTAACAGTTCCACTAAAATCACCCTATCCTTAGCCAACTCTAAAGAGGCTTAACCCAAGTTATTAATCTGTAAAAAAAGTGTTTTAAGTTGAGATTCAACATTCAACTTAAAGATTTAAATTAATTTTTTTAAACTAAAAGCTTGGCTAAGTCATATTGAGGTTAAGCCATAATTAGGGTGATATAAAAATCAATGTTAACTTTGTGTAATTGAGACATAAGCCCATGTTTGTATAATATCTCTTTGCTATGAAACTGCCTTTTACATAGTAGACAAGCCAAGATATTTTCGTCTAGAAAAGGGAGAGGGGAGGCGCCGGTATTATTGCTAAGGCCAGTTTCATTGACTAATAGATTGCTAGATTGTTGCGAATTGCCGAGGGTATTTGAAGAAATATTTTTCCTAGAGGTGGTAAATGAATCGTTGTCTGAGTCACTACCATCGGCGGAGTAGGTGTTAACCAATGAGGTGAGAGAATTCTAAGAAAACAATTTTTTTTTGGTTTAAAAAATATTTTATTTTACATAATTTAAGGGAGTAAACCAAGTTCACTTTATTAAGGGAAGTGTTTAAAATGCTTAAAAAACTGCAATTTTAAAGGAATGGCAACAAAGATGTGACCTTTTCAGCGTTATAATTAAATTGAAGAAATTTTTCTAATATCCCTAAATATATTTTTAAAATTCTAATAGTATAATAAACGTATCAAATAAAAATAACCAATATTCATATATGTTTTTAATTAATAATAACTTATTTTAAATTTATGTTTATATAAAAATCTAGATGCATATAGGTATAAATTTAAAGCTGCATTTATAGTAAGCGTGATTTGCTCAAGCAATGTGAATGATCATGGGTAAACAGCTGTCGCTATTCCATCCTTTTGCACTGTATTTATAAATCATACCCATTATTAGCTTGATTATGTAAATTAGTTGGCGAAAAATTTCGTATCACTATCACTCTAGCGAATCGCCCTTACTATAAATGGAGCCTAAGGCAAAAAATAATGTTAACAATATGAGTCAAATAAGATGGTCTCTATAAAAGCTGAGCAACGGTAAAAAATACTTGATTTCTAATTGCTAAAAAAATCATCAAAGATGAGCCTTATGCTTTCAATTTATTTTAAAAAATATGAATGACCGGAAATGCTGCTTGCATTTGATTTTGCAATGAGAAATGGGGAGAATGGATTTGGACTTGAGATGTGGCCATTTGTTGGAGAGGTACGAATGTTTGCTGGGGAAGTTCCTTTTTCTGGTTCATATTTTTGGCCCATTTTTCCATTTCTCGTGCGATCTTTTTGGCCTGCCTAGCCTTTTCTTTAATCTCTTCGGCCGCTAGTAGAGAGCTATGGCTGGGTTTGGTGATCTACAAGGGATAAAAAAAAGAGTAAAATTCGTTTCATCACAGATGATAAGGAGATTATCTTACGATCTGATTAGAATCATACCATTTTTTTTAAAAACAATTTTTAAATATTTTTTGCATAATTTTCAAAATAGCACCACACCTAGTTATCCCAAAAATAAATTTATCGAGATCTTAATGTTGTATAATTCTTATTCAACCATATTTCACATTTTATTTACAATGTATAAATTTGCGTAATAGAGAAGATCCCTTGAAAAATCATTTTATCCATATAGTGCACTTTTTCAAACATACTATACACCTAACACTATGTGATTAATAAAGCTACAAATGGAACCTTGCAAAAATTTTCAAAGGTGTATCAAGATTTCATTCACTTTTGGAATTTAAACTAATAAAGAGGGAAGGGGAAAATAATTCCGTTGAATAATAAGCAAACTTTATGGCCCTGTGTACGGGCATCGTTCCTGTTCTGAATTTGTGCAGCTCTTTCGACTTCTAGCTTGGTATTTCTGGATTCGAATAAGGCCTTTTCTATGAAGGCCGTAACATCAATCTTATCCTTTTCCACAGGTCTAAATGGAGTATTTTTTGGTGTCTTATGTGCCGTTGATTTTTCGATAACGCTTGTTACTGCAGTAGTTTTGGCTGACTGGGCAGAACAAGTGGGTATTACTGTAGGGGTAGATACTGTGCTCGAAGAGTCTAAGAAATAAAGGTAATCTAAATTTATTTATATATGGAAATAAAATTAATATCTCCTTATTTTTAAAAAAAAGTCAAATTGTTAAAAGATGTAAATTAGCCTTTTACTAATTTTTCTTTCAAATTCTACTTTATAATGATAAATTGTAAACATTTTTAAGGGGAGATGAGTAGGGGGGGGGGGGGTGTAAATTTTTATCAGCTTAAAATAATATTTATGATGATAAGCAAATCTCCGATAAGGGGTCCCCTTATTCCCCCAGGCCATGCCTATGATACTGCCATTTAGTGTTGTTAAAACATCCGCCAAAGTTTCGATATCGAGGTTTACTTATGTAATTAATATGACTAAAATCTTGTTTTTTTTTTAAAATGGCAATTTGAGGTTTTTAACAACATTAATGGCCTTTAATTAATATAAAATTTTAAATTTACTTCCAGCATTCATTCAATGTCGAAATATAAATAGAAAATGTTCCTTTTAAAGTAAATCAATGTAAAGAATGTAACATTTTAGAATTATTTGTGATAAAAAAAAATGTTCGTTCTATCGTAATGTTTTACTTGGAACATCTTTAACCACGTTAAGTTTGGATGCCGAAGTGTCAGATTCAGTAATAGTGGGAATTAACAAGTAATTTCTCTTAGCAGCGTCCCAATAGAGATACTTTTGAGTTTCTCCATTATAGTAATACTTTTTTTGCAAAAAAAGAAAGATGTAATAAGAATAAAATATAGACATAGGTTTATGTTATATTTGAATGTTTATATATATTTTAAAAGGTTACGCTATTTGAATTATATATTTCTTATATTTTATATTATCTTATGGAGGTCAATGTAATTGCATATTAGTAGTAGTTAAATGACATAATTATAAAAGACTATATATATGAAACAATTTTATAATAAAGAACCTATTGTTTTGACTATAAAAGTTTATACATTAAAATTTAAGAGATTTCAGGCTATTCGGAGTTAGGATTGGCAGGATTAAATCAAATTGATTTAAATTTGATAATTTTAAGGAACATAATTCAAATAAATTACTTTTTTATTTGTATTTCAATATTTATTAGTTTTTATTTTCAAAGAAAAAACTTTTTACTATATTTTAAAATAATTACTAAATTTTAGTAGGTTTTATAGGTGGCATCCATAACTAAAATTATTATTTTTAGGTATAATAAACTATCATAAAATTTAACATTGTTAAAGTTAAACAAAAGTCTCTATAATTATTTCTGCCCATTTTAATAAATATTATTATATATTTTTTGATATAGGTTCTAAGATTCAGAATTTTAAAGAGCGACACTACATTTCCCTAAGAACACCTGGAGCGCCGCCATTTTTCGAAACTCGGGAGCGAGAGCTATCTCCTTTCTGGGTAGAAAATAATCTTAATTAATGTATTTGTTGAATACAATAAAAATGATATATATTTATTCAAATTTATGAAACTATTTAATTATATATGTTGAACCGAGTTTATATTTTTTTTCGTTCTCACCATTTTTTAAATTCAAATTTATAAAACATAAAAACCATGGAAGACTATATCGTTTTATTAACAAATACCGAAAGCTATTTAAATGAATGAAATAAAATTTTCATTTCCATCCAAGAAATATTTTTCTTTTCTAAAAGATACCTTTTACGTGGATCTAGATACAGATACAATTTTTCTTAACTTATATACAGGGTGCGCGCACAAAATATGTAAACAACATTTTTATATTTTGTTCTCATTCATATAAAAAAAATAATAAAAAAATGTCAATGACTATTTTTTATCGTTTTCGAGCAAATTCTCATTTAAAACAAGCATTTATTTTAAAAAATATTTTTACATTAAACTTAATTCATTAAAAGTTAGTGGAATATCAATAAAATCATTTTAAAAATACAAATAGAAAAATATGATCTTTTATATAAATAAAATAAATAAACATTAAATAAAGATTTCACAAAATTTAATAAAAAATATAATAAACAATGAAAAAACAAGTTAAAAAAATTATCATAATTGCCTTAAGTTTTATCCAAAAAGAAATTGTGTATTTTTTAACTCATTCAAAAAGTCTTCCAAATTACCTCGGATATTAAAACCAATTTTAAAGAAAAAGAAGAAGATTATTTTAAATTTTTTTATAAATTGCAAATGTGTTTTTTTAATTATTTTGCAAACAAAATATTTTTATCTGGATCAAGATGTTTCATTAAATCATCACAACACTGAAATATCAATATTTTTGTAATAAAATTAATCCAAGTTTACATTAATAATTTTGCTGTGGGAAGTATTTTCCTCTAAAAAAAATATGATTTTGCCAACCCTATTATCCGTAAAAAAGTTTTATTCACCGAAATGATAAATAATATGCTAAAGGAAACCTTAGTGGTAGCATTGTAATAAAGCCGGGTGAGTGGGTCAAAATAGTATCCAGAGCCAGCATCGAACCGATATAGAGAGGTATCAGGGACAGGATAAGTAATGTCTTCAGCCCCGTAACCAGCAGGCAAGGGCAGGGTTAACTGGAACGTTTGAGCAGGTTGTTGGTACATTTGATGGCTGGGTAAAGAGGTTGAAGAAATCATGGCTCTGGCCTGTTCTAAGGCAGTTTTGGCCATGAGGCGATTGTTATTAGATAAGGTGGAGGCTATTATATAAAAAAATTAACAAAGAATAATTTCCTTCCTTTCTACCATTATTTTTCTTCACATATATACTGATTTTAATAAAGTGTGATTTTTTATGTCTTGCTTTAGTTTTTACCGTTTTATTTAAATCCTTACATATTAACTTTGATTGTATTACAGGTAATAAACAAATAGTCAATACAAAAAACAATTAATGAAATAATTATATCAAAATTTTGTGATAAATATTTTACAATAAATAAAAATAAACTACCAAGAAAAAAGAATCGTATGTAAATGTATAAAAGCGATACTTAATCCGGCATTAGAGGCTCCCAAATGGCTCTGCATGCTAACGTGGTACCTTTCCCTTTGAGTGGCGACGGTGGCATTAACCAACGCCAAGGAGGCAGACGCACTTTTAGCAAAACTGACCAACAATTTACGATCACCTTCTATAGTGAGGAGACCATTGCAGAAGCTACTTGAGTCGTGCGTCGTCATGATCCTATTAATAATGAAATAAGGACGAGATATTTGTTTGAAGAAACCTCACATCCCCCCCCCCTTCTAGCGGACCCTTCCAAATGCAATTCTGCGATTCGAATCCGGCTCATTATTTATAGACTGGAAATTTTTAATTAAAAAAATTAATTAAATATCTATTTATAACGTTAAAATAAAATACTATCAGTAATTACCAATTGGGTTTTTACTTAATTGTCGAAGAAATATTCAAATTATTGATTCGATAATTTTAAAATTAAAATTCTTGAATTCACCTTGAAAATAAATATAAAGATTTTCTCTCATATTATAAATAACATGCAAATATGGGATAGGTTCCAAATCGCTAAAAATTGTGAATCTCGTTTATATCTCATTGAAAATTATTAAAGTAAATTTGACCCTCGACAAATACTGAGGATAGAAACTTTCAAATTTAATTTAATAATTTCCTAGGAGATATAAGCGAGATTCCCAATTTTTAGCGATTTAGAAGGGGAACCACAAATATGGCCTAAGAAAATAATTTTAATATTCAAATTAGTGATCTGCATCGGGCATAATTTTTCAAGCCCGGCCCAGCCCAAAATTTTTTTTAAAAAAGTTTTGCCGGCCCGGTCCGAAAACAAAATTTTTTTAAATAGATTTGCCGGCCCGGCCCAAATTTATTTAAATATAGAAATTAATTTTTGTATTACTCAAAATAAAAGACATATGTTGGCGTTTAGTTTCAATAAATAAAATCAAAAAATATTTTTTCCATAAAAAATTCAATATAAAATTGATAAAATTCGATATATTTAGACATGTGCGCCACCGGTCAAATGCGGCCGCCGGTAATTTTTGACCACGCCGACGCCAAAAAAATGTTGGCGCTCAACACGCCGCCGCCGATAAAAAAATTCGGCGTCGTGATACATATTTTTTATTATTAATAATATTTATGAATTGTAATTAAAGGAAAAATATTAAATATTTTTTGAATTATTAAAAAATACGATTTTATTTTTTAAAATCAATAAATATTATTTGCTATAAATTTGATTTGTAACAATCCATACAATACACGTTCGCTCATTTTGAGCAGGTCTGTGAACAACTTGCTAGATAAAATTAGATTAGGACATTAAAATATGATATTATTCTAGATTGAATTCTTTTAATTTTTGATGCTTCAAATATTTTTAATAAAACCATATTGCAATTTACAAATTGTTATATAAAATTTATTTTTTATCATAAAAGGAAATTGCCATTATAACATATATAAAAATAGCAGGACTAAAACAATTATAATGGATGCAGCATTGCAATACCCTGTAACAAAATATAGTATATCCTTGCAAGTAAAACCTTCTTTTGCATGGAAACATTTTGGATCCTTAATATTAAATACTGACACAAATAATAAGAGAACCAGTGTTGCTACAGATAAAGTCTTTTGTAATATATGCTTGCAAATAGAACTTGATAAAAATGGTGAGGATGAAAATAATTATTCATTTTCAGAGTAAATTTTTTGATTATTTTAAAAATATTTATGAATTTTTTAATTAGTTATCCAATCAAATCTTTTTCAAAAAATTTAAACATAACTTATCATGTAAAGAAGAAATATCTAAAAAAAATTTAAGTTATTTTCCAACGCATTGTAAAAGATACAACTGACCCTATAAAAGATAAAAAATGGATTCTGGTAAAAAAACTATTGAATTTTTATCCATCCAAAAAGGAGTTACTATAAATTTATCCTTATTATTTCAGTGAAATTAAAAATCATTTAATTGTAAAAGCATATGATAGTCCTCCCATAGCATACCTTAAACAAAATATACTTACTAACTTTGATCATAGATTTCCAATAACCTATCTTCAGGTAGTATTTTAAAATACTTAAATTATTTTTTATATTATTTCTCTTTGTTTTATTTTTTTACTAAGGTGTTAGGAGCATATTTGGATTATCGTTTTCAATTTATAAACATAGTAAATGAAAATTTAAAGGAAAAAAATATTACTATATGCAATTTTTATGTCAAGTTAATAAACTACCATAATCAAATTTATTGTATAATTTAGAAACAAAAAATAAACAGAAAATATTAACGGGCAAGAAGTCAAATACATAAAATTAGCAAGGAATATTTTATTCACTCTCTACGGCCTTACACTGACGAATTAAACGAATGTGAAACGACGGAAGTTGCTTCAAAACTCGATTATCTTAGGCCATTGGCTACGAAACATCCATCTATTCATAACAACAACCTGGAACAACAAGACTATTTAACTAGTTTAAAAAAGAGTGTTATTCATTATTTTCGCCTTATAATTTAGAGATAAAAGATTTCTTAAATTTTTGGAAGATAAGAGCATTGGATCTTCCTAAACTTTCAATATTAGCTAGAAAGGTCTTGTGCATTCCAGCTACTAGCACACCCAGTGAGCATGTATTTTCCATAGCTGGACTCACTCTGAACTCTAAAAGATCATTATTATGTCCTATAAATCTAAATAAAATAATATTTATACATGATAATTATAACTTAATAAAATCAATAAATTATAGTTATAAACATGATAAAGCATAAATTTTATTTTAAAAGTGTTTCCAATGAATTTATAATTTTAATTAAAAAAATTTAAGCTAGAAAAATATTTGACGCCGCCTCCAATTATTGTGGTGGCGCACATGTCAAGATATGTTTAAAAAAATTTCCAAATTTTTTTAAAAATATCAGGCCTAGAATTAGGCCCGAGTCCGGCCAGGCAATTTTTAAAATTTTCTAGAATTATAATTTGGACTTTTTTAGTTTATCTAAAATATTTTTTATGCATAAAAATCACAAAATTTTTACTTATATTTGGAATTTTAGGTAAAATTTGATAAATCCTGTTTAAGAATTCTCAAATAAATCTTCTTTAAAAAAACTTACAAGATCAAAATCTGTGAAGATTTTAAATTTTTGAGCAAATCTTAAACTATTGTAATACTAATAAATTTATAACTCCATTGTAGAAAAACAAGTCAGGGATGTATTAAACTTTTAGATTAAAATTTGAAATAAAACTGATAATTTTATAGGGTCATTCTTTGTCAGAAAGCAAAAAATAAAATTTTAGAGTGACCCCTTTCAATTCTGAATAGAACATAAACGATATCATAACGTTAAAGTTTTATATTGAAGTAATAGGAATCAAAGGTGTAAAATTGCACTATCTTATCTCTATCAGGGTGGGGGGGGGGGGGGTTATTTAATAAAACTAAATCAATTAGATTATTAAATTTAATATTTAAACTAAGTCAATGATTGTTACTTGGAGTGAGGGAGTGAAAATTTTTGTTATACATTCTAATCTATATTAAAATTTAAATTAGTATTTCATTTAAAAAGGGCGAACCTAAACTCTTTTCCATAATTTATATATTAATTTGCCAATACTTCAATAATTATTGTAGCAAACTAATATCTTTGAAAAAATGCATATAAAATATATTCAGAAAAATATATAGATGACGAGATATATTAATATTTCAATTCACCAATATAGGGCAAAGATAACATTAATAAATACAAATTGGCATATCTGAATTGCAATATGTGTGTTGAGAGGTGGGTGATTTGGCACGGAATAAGACCCTATAGCATCATTCAGCTTACCCATTCAATGATAGAGTTAGGTGTGGAAAAAAAATGAAATAAATAAGTACTAAACTGTTGTATGGATTCGTCGCTACAGTAGATTTGGTTGTTGGTGAGTATCCGCAAAAAGTCAGAAGCATCTTTGAGTGTCAACATCTCTACAAAACAAAACCCCATGCTAAGGGCAAAGCTATTTGGGTCCGAGGGATCTTTACCCATTTGGATTTCGGTTATGGGGCAGTAAGTAAAGGTTCGGATGGCTTCTACTACCATTTCGGATGTTGTGGATAGAGGGTCTAACCCCCTAAATAGTAAGACTTGGGAAAGGTTGTTATTTAAAAGATTTATTAAAAAAATGATTAATCAATACCAAAATGATATATAAAGAAAAATGTTGAATTAGTAATGAGGTAAATGATAAATTAAAATAACCAATATATAATTTTATTATTAAAAAAAATGAAAATTAAGATAAAATATCTTATTCATGGTAAAGAGGTAAATATATTTTAAAATGTTTATCTTACGCAAATGATGTTTTCTAACAGAACTATGTTGATCCATAAATCATCATTAAGTTTATTACTAATCTGACATCAGAGACCTGCAGGCCCGGCCCTAAGCCCGGCCGTATTTTAAATTTTTTAAATATACCCGGGCCGGGCCTAAAAAATTTTTTTTTAAATATATCCGGGCCGGGCCTAAGATTGTTAAACCCGGGCCGGGCCTTAATATTTTTTATAAAAATTTTTACATTATGAGTTAATGGTTATAAGATTATATTATATTATAGTTGTGATTAATATAATATTGGGTAATGGTTAACACACCTAACACCCACAGATCGATCTAATTATTAATTTCCTGCAAATTTATTCAAAGTATTAATATATTTTTTTATAATTCATATCTAAATTTTTACAACATATTTTACCAAAACAATCAAATAAAGGAATATCTTAAATAAGCCCCAATATTCAAGTATTAATAATATATTTTTTATAATTCATTTCTAAATTTTTAGAATATTTACCAAAACAATCAAATAAAGGAATATCATGGCACAAAATACTAATGATATAATTAATAAAATTAAAAATAATATTTATTCTTTTAGAAATACAAATAATAATTTAAAATCTGAAATATGGGCAAAATTTAACATCATCATAGATGAAAATAAAAAAAACATTGGCTACGTACAATGTAAGAATTGTTCAATTATATTATCTTATAATTATAAACATGGTACATCACATCTAAAAAGACATAAATGTGATGGTAAATCCATGAAAATTAATAATTTTTTTTTACACCTGAAAAACCAACCTATAAATGTAATATAAAATATTTAAAAATTATAAAATAAATTATATTAATATTGTGCAATTAGATTATATTTTCAAAATACTATTTATTATATATGCAATTTTTTAAATAGCGATTTATTTTTATTTTATAAATTAAATAGTAAATTAAATACAATATATTATATTCTCAAAATATTTTCCATTTTTATAAATTAAATATTAGTTTTATTTTTTTTAAATGCAATATAAAATATAGTATATGCTCAAAATATTATTACCATTTTTATGAATATTAGTTTTATTTTAATAAATGCAAAAAATATAGTATATGCTTAAAATATCCATTTTTATAAATAACAGTTTTATAATTTTTATAAATTCAATATAATATTCTCAAAATATTAGCTTTTTTCATGTATTTTTTAAATAATAAGCGATAATACTCGCTGAAAAATATGGTAAAATACCTCATAGGTGAATTTTTGTATATACCAGGTCGAATATAATTTTAAAAAATTCCGAGCCGGGCCTGAAATTTTTAAATCCGGGCCGGGCCGTAAAAAATTTTTTTAAAATTTATCCGGGCCGGGCCTTAAATCTTTAAATCCGGGCCGGACCGGGCCGTAAAAAATTTTTTAAAAAAATATCCAGGCCGGGCTGGGCCTAAAAAATTTAAAACCGGGCTGGGCCGTGCAAATGGTGCCTCTGCAGGTCTCTGTCTGACATTAACCCAAAATTGATCTAATAACTGGTATTATTGTTGGCAAATATCTGATAAGGAGAATTTGGATAGCTACACTGCAGTTGCATTTAATAGTTTATTATCTAAGTAAAGAATGGTGTGACTTGGTCTAAGGGGTGATGCCAAAATGGGCTTTAGGCTATGTCTTTGCTAGAAATTATAATGTGCAAATTTACACATTTTATTTTCGCATGTCTTAATTTATACCAAAAAATTTACTGCATTTTTGAGAATTCAGAATTTTAAATAGCATGTGAAAGAGTGACACTATTTTGTGCAAAAATAAAACTTGATAAATATAATGTATAGTTTTTTTTGTCTGCAAAGCTGTTAGGCTTAAATATTTATAGGATTAAGAAAGCAATTTGTTATTATTTATCTGAAAGATGGATCTAATTTATATTTTTTAAATAAAATATGTTTTAGGGCTTAGCTTAATATGAAAAAAAATTGGTGAGCAGGTTTGGGCCAAAAAATTGAATCAAAAAAATTCATTATTTAAGTTGTTAGGCAAGATATTTATATAAATCCTCAAATTACTCTCCTACCTAACATTCTTTAAATGTTAAATTTATATTAGGTTTATAAACAATGTATACATATTGAAAGCTAAAATTTAATATTATCAAAAGATAGAGGGTATGCTATAATAAAAAAAGAATTTATACAAATGTGAAATACATGTATGTTATTCGAATATATTTAAATGAAACCTTTATTAGGGATGGCACTCATTTCACTTATACCATTTTTCCCAATATCACTATGCATATCAGATTCTATTGAAAATCAGATTATTAAAATATAAATAAGCTTATTGGGATATTAAAAAATGTACCATCTTTTTTGAGAAAGCATTTAAAGCACTGGGATCGCTTTTTGAAATTACATATCCCACACTTAAAAATGTATATGTACATGTGTTGTTAATATATAAATAAACTTGACTACATGTCCATTCTGATTTAGAAGGATCAATAGTGAGGTCAGAACCACGTGGAGAACTATAATTCAAAAATACTTTATGTTGTCCTTGCATCATAAAATATCCTCTCTACAAATTAATAATATAAAGATTTATGCAATGAGATACAAACCTTAAAACTTTCATAGAACTTGATAGCATCATCAACTGAAAAATATTCAATAAATGCAAACCCTCTGGAAACTCCTAAAATATTTTTAGTATATAAATATATTAAAAAGTAACCAGAATCTTTATTTCTCATAAGCCTTATTTCTTTTACATGACCTCCTCCTACATTGTCAACTTCAATTTGTATCTATATGTAAATGGCAATATTTAATAACAAAATCTAAGGAGCAAAATCATCAAAATTTACGTCTGATTCTACAACATGTGGTGGAAGATTTCTCAACATTATTGTGTTGTTTGGTAGTTCATTTGGGATTTTCCTTTCAGAATAAAATGAGCGTTCCGATTTATGATAATCAGAACTTCCACTTCTGTCAGATCTCTGAGGAGAACGAGAACCATATTTTTTCTTTAAATTAAAGTACAGGAATGATGTAAATTAATATATTCAATTAAAATCTGTAACAATTCACTAACATCAGAGCTTTCCTATATCAATCATTTGGCAGTGTATACAGGTTTTCAGGTTATCATTATATAATAAATGAGATGTATAATATTTATTTACACCATTACATTTAAATATATAGAAGATGAGAAATGACAATATGTATAAGCTTTTTTATTAAATATTTAAAACTCATCATATTCCATTTGTTGTTATAATTATTTATCATATTCAATTACATCATATCTATCATTCTCTCTTAAAGATAACTCATATTCCCAAGAATCTTCGCTATCTCGACTTCGATATTTTCTACGTGAACGGTCTCTATGCCTGTCTCTTCTTCTATCATCATCCCGACGTGAATGCCTAGTTCGAGATCTACTACGACTCTTAGCACGTCTTCTTTTATGTCTATTAAATATATACATGTATGATTATAACATAAATAATAAAAACTTATTTCTAGATGAGCTCTCCCTATTCAGCTTTTCATTTTCATGATCATCATCTTCTCCGCTGCTAGACATTTTGTTGTATTAGCTATAATTTTTAAACATTCATTATAGGTATTGTAATTAAAATAAAATAAGGTTAAAATCATACATAAGCTAAATTATTGATAAATATCACGTGATTTAAAAAGTTACACGTCGAAAATAGAATAAGACAGTGATTTATTAGCATAGATTTCATAAGTCATTACGTTATTATATTATATATTATATACTCGGACAGTACTGAAGTAACCAATTTATGTTTTAAGATTATATGATATCGATATATAATATGACCATCGATTAAAGTGCCCTTTGTCACCGAGATGGGAGTAAGATAAAAAAAAACTTCCTTAGAATTATATGGAGATCTAGTTCGTACCATAATCAAACTTTTTTGGGTAACCCCTAATCCATCCTTAATTATTTTAATTTGTAAATATTTGAATTTATTATTATTATTTAAAAATGATATAAATAATCAAATTTTTAATTATATTTATTGTGATAAAAAAAATAAAAATCGTGTAAGGTACATAATTTTTTTAATTAAATACTAGTCTTATAAAAAATCCCGATTCGGGTAGATTTTTAAAAACGACCCCATTAAGATTAAAACAAAAATAATATTTTGCAAGTCTGATGATTTTGCTCATAGATGGCAAAAAGGTTTGGACAATTTGCCAAATCTCAAGACATACATAATTGGATAAATCTTAATCGGACGGTTTTTTGAAAAAAGGCCAAAATCGGCTTTCTGACAACACTTCCAAATATATTGAGGAAATAAATCCTAAAAACATAAGTAATTATTACCTCGATATTTCAAATTGATTTTTTGTATAAAGTATGACTACTTTCCATAGGCGTAGCGAGGATTTTCCTAAGAGGGGCATTTTGGGAGGGACTTCGGCCGGGTTACCTAAGTCTATATATAATCATAAAATATTTTTACAAAATAGGAGGTTGATTTTAGTAAAAAAAAAATTAGCCTGGAACAAATATGAAATATATTTTTATTAGTTTATATAAAATTGGTTTTTTTTTTTATATTAAACTGTATTTTATTTTTTGATTTTCATTAAAATTACAGAGGATTAAAAAATATATATTAAAATGGATATATTAAAAATTAAATATAAAAAAAAAGAAATATATAATATATATATGATCTATGAAGACATTAAAAAAGACTATAAAAAAAAATATAATAAATAACTTATATATACATTAATATAAAAGCATGGTAATAATTTATTCCAAACAAGTATAAGAAATTTATTTATAGAAAGTAAGTATACATATAGTTGATATTCCTCTATTATATAGAATTAGTTACAAAATACTATGTAAAATTCCACTTTTACAGACATATTTGACAGTTACAGTATATATTACAGTTAATATTGTAACAATTATTACTAATCATTGTCATTGCTCTTGAAAATAAATATAGCAACAATTTGCATTCCATTATTTAACGATATCTATTTATTTTAAATATAAATGATAATAAAAATTAATCTTCATATTATATATCCCACAATGTATTTAAAAGATATTTTCTGATGTCCTCATCAATATTTTATAGTTTTCTGTAAAATATATAATTCGCTATATTGGTAAGAATTACTTGATTGTCATATGATAATGGATATTAGATATATTGTAAATCTACGACATATAATATTCCATGTTTGTATTGTGCTTTATTTATGATTTAATTTTATCAATAGTTTTATGTTGATTGATTTAAATTTGAATATTATTTATTTTATATGTTGATTGATTTAAATTTGAATATTATTTATTTTTATATTTAAGTTGTTCAATTAACTTTTAAAAGATATATATATATATATAATTTTGTGGATGAAAAAAAGAATAATAAAATAGTTAAAATAAGTTCTTACATTTATTATTTACATGGTGCCCCGGTTACGGTGGTACGTTTTTCATTTTAAATTAAATTTAAATGATAAAAGTTTTAAAAGAAAAATTTAAAAAATATCCTTACCTTGAATTCTTATGTTAAAAATAAAAAGTAAACGAAATACTTATCAAATTCGTCGTTCGATATGGGAGATGTTAAAGGACAAATAAAATTTTTTGACTTTTCTTTTCGATAGTCAAAATTTTATCCAAATTTACAAATTTATAAAAAGGTAAAAAAAAAATATATATATATAAAAAAAATAAAAGAGTATATATATACAAATATAAAAAAATATTTTTCATAAAAATAATGTTTTGTTTTAAAACGTATGATATACCTCAACACGTTATTATTGATGATATGTTAAATGTAATGGGAATTAAAGAATTTTCTTATGTACGTGATAATAGGACAAACGAAATTGTTTTTTATTTTAAATCTTTACGTAAAATGATTAATGCATTTATGTGTCTTAATGGCAAACCATATATTCTAGATGACAATAATTTTATTTTTATATTTTGTAAAATTATTGATTATTAAAATTTAAATATCTTTATGCTTTAGATATTTGACATTATATTTATAGAAAATTTTCTCTATAAATTTACGTAATATTTAACTTATAGAATGTCAATAAATTTTTTCTAAAAACTTAGTCACGAATTAGTATTAAATTTTTCAAAGACAAATTATATTGAAGCTTAGTGGATCAAATCCTCTTTACGAATTCGAATTAGAATTTTTATAGATAAACTATTAAAACTTAGTGGACCATATTCTCTTGATTTAAATTAAAATTTTTAGACAACTTAAATTTGATTTTAATGAACGACAATGTTTTGCTTTTACGATTTTAAATATTGAAAGTTTACTTTACTCAAATAAAATTATATAATGGACGAAAAATTAACTCTTACACACACTCAATATGTTCCTAAATTTCCCAAGTTATCAGGAAAATTATCTGAGACTTATCTTAACTTAATAGAAACATACTTTGAAGGACATATTGAGTCAGACTCATCTAAAATTAGGACACTACTATGCAGCTTACCAATTGAGATTGTAGACCAAGTTACGTCGATATGTTCTAAAGCACAGTTAAAAGATTTTAATATTGTTTTTGGTAAATTAAAACTGTTAATTCCAAGTGAGGACATTAATGTAAATATAAAGAACTTTAACTTAGCGGTACAAGGTGCCGAGGAGTCCTTCCATACTTTTTATTTTAGAATTTCAAAACTTCATAAAAAATGCGATTTTGATAACGATACAAGAATGATTGAGAAATTAATAACTTGTTCTTTAAATGATAATATTAGAAGGAAGTTAAATAAACATAAGCACGAAGGTTTAGATAAGATGATGAAATTAGGAGTGGAGTTAGATGGCAGCAATATTAAACCAGACGTTAGCGATACAAATTATGTAGACAATAATAAAAAATTGGATAAAAATAAAAAATTTTACAATTTAAACATGGATAAAATACCATGCAAAAGTACTTTTAGTAATAATGAGAATAATTCTAATGATTATGAACGTAATAATTTTAAAGAAAATAATTTTAATTATAATGGACGTAACATTCATAAGGAAAATTTTGATTTTAAGAAGAGGAATTATAATGATTTTAGGCCTAATTATAGTGCTAGCCGAAACTATCAAAACAATATTTTTCGAGACAGTGAGGGTAACTCTAGAAATTTTCGTAATAACCAATCTTCGAATAACAATTCAAACTATTACGGAAGAAACTCCATGTGGCACAACAACTATAATGCAAACAATTATAATAGAAACAATGCCTGGCAATACAATAACAATTCAAACAATTATGGTAGAGGTACTTGGCAAAACAATAATTATAATGGGAGAAACAATTCCTGGTCTTACAACAATCAAAGAAATCAGAGTCAATATAATAATCGATATGGTTATCAATATCAATCCTATAATAACAACAATAATGGAGAAAATAATGCGTGGAAAAATTATAATCAGTATATTAATCAAAGAAAACCATTACAATATAATGACGTGAATCAAAGTAACATCAATTGTAACATGAACATTGAAGAGATTGTTGAAGAAAAATATAACCCTACACAAAATAATAATGGTAGTGATTTTAATATCAACAATTTAACTGAGTTTAAACATAATGATAATGCGTTCATGACCACTTTAAAAGTAAATGATGCTGTTGTTACTATGCAGGTTGATACGGGATCCAAGTTTACAATTATACCTCATGAAATGGCTAAACAAATAGGTATTAAAGATCTTAAAAAGTCCACTCTACAACTTTCAGCTTATGATGGAAACTTAATCAAGATTATTGGCGTCACTCAAGTTAAAGTAACCTACGAAGGTATCACCAAACACTTGCAAGCCGTGATCGTTAAATCTAATAAAAATGCGTTATTGGGACGTATGTGGATTAATGCCTTTAGTAATATTTTGAACAAATTTATAGCAAACATTGATACCAACTATGAAGATGAAATAAAGAAATTAATAAAAGATTGCGAATCTAAACTGACTAAAAAACCGATCAATAAAGGGAATGTCAAAATATATCTACGTAACGACGCCAAACCAAAAATCATACCACCTAGACGGTTACCTTATTCAAAGATAGACGCTGTTACTAAAGAACTTATGAGATGGATAGGAGATGGAGTCATTGAGCCTGTAACAGATGTCCGTTGGGCAAGTCCGATAACCGCTGTCTACAAGGATAATGGGAGCGTTAGGGTTTGCGCCGACTTCAAAGACACTGTCAACCCAGCCCTTGAGGACTTCAGATACCCACTTCCAAGAATAAATGACCTTATCGCTAAGCTCAAGGAAGGGAAGAAGTTCACCAAGATAGATTTCAAGGATGCGTTCCTACAAATTCCCATTGATGAAACCTGCAGAGACATATTAACTATATCTACACACAGGGGGTACTACCGGTTTACCAGACTTCCTTTTGGGTTAAAGACTTCATCTGCGATTTTTCAACAAATTATGGATCAAATTTTCAGTGACATGAAAGATGTCATATTTTATATTGATGATCTACTAATTACGGGAAGTAGTGACGAAGTTCATTTCAACAACATAAAGAAGGTTTTTGAAAGAATACTATCTCATGGTTTAGTGCCTAATTTTGCAAAAAGCTTATTTTTCAAAAAAAGTCTAAGGTTCTTAGGACACGACATCGACGCCAAGGGGATCCACGCCAACCATGACAAGATCGAGGCGATCGTTAAAAT